GAGACCCCCGCCCCCGCCCCGTCCTCCATTCTGCCCGAAGGCGCCTCTTTCCCGGTCCTACCGCAGGCGGGTCTGGTGGCGGCCGCGGGGGTAGCGGCCTGACTCAGCGCGCTTTCCTTCCCTGCTGGCGCTCTCCTTCCGAACGCGCGCTCCTTGCTGCCTGGGCGCGCTGCCCCCGTCGAAGAAGCCTTTGCTAAGGCTCCGCGATACCCATTTTATCGTCCTGAAAAGCACTTTTTCTCCGAGCAGCGAGAGATTAGACCCAAGTTCGGCCCCCTCTCTTTACTTCTACACCTGCGCTCTTTGGGCCCATCCCATCTCTGGGGGCTGCGGAAGTTCAGGGAAAGAGGCAGAGAGGTCCTGTTGAAGACGTGCAGCCTCCTGGGGTTAAGGTGTTTCCATGCCCGGCTGCCAGGGGAAAATGCTGGGAAGGATGGCGAGCTTTCTTTGTGTCTCCAGGGCTGGTGTCCATTTGCTTCACCTTCTTTCTGCCTTGCCTCAACCCATTCTGGCCTGCTCATATTGGTAGCCCCTTGAACTCCTGGGGGTGGGGGAACAGCCAGTAGACAGACACTTCTGCAACAGAACCAGACAATGAAACACCAGAGGGAAAGCCATCATTTCCTCCCCCTCCCCCACCATCCATTTCATTCTCAGCTGCAGAAAACAGCCACCCCAAGAACTATGTTTGAGGAGAAATTATCTCTGCAAGCAAAGGCATGCCGGCGGCCTCAGAGGCTGCTCTCCCCGCCCCCACCCCCCCATATGGTGCACAACAGGCTTGCAGCTGCATGGCCTGGAAAGACCTGCCAAAGAGGGATCTGCCCCTTCTCCTGCGAGTCAGACTCAGCTCCCCCACCCCTGCCCTTGCGTATTCTTCACTGACCTTTCAGGCCCTGTTTGGCTCTCCAAACTGGTGGCTTCCCTTCCTCTGAGACTCCTGCCAGCTGTTTGCCTGCTTCAAGGGGCGAACAGGCCAAGGGAGTAGGAGGATCAACCCAGAGGGAGGTGGGGGGGGTAGAATTGCATGAGTCAGCCTGGGATGATGTTACTGTCATCCCTCAGAGGCAAAAGGATCAAACCTCATCTGGTAAGGGTGTAAAACAGATGGTGGCCTTGGCTGCTGCCAGACCCATTCCCCCCCCCAGTGTTTATGAGGGTTCCCCCAAATAATGCTCCAGAGGCAGGAAGCATCGAGGCCCATGCCATTGCTTCCAGCCACAGTCAGCAAAGAGGCAGCAGAAGTGACTGGACTAAGCATGCTGCCTTCATTTATTTATTTACTTACTTATTCATTCAATTTTTAAACCACCTGTCTAGCAAATTGCTACTCTGAGCAGTGTACAGAAAGTAAAGCAAAAATTTAAGAAACCTTGTTCTAACATACAAAAATTAAAAAAAAATTAAAAGGCAGATGACAAGAAAGTGTTAAATGGCTGAGAAAGTCACACCTTTCTCCTCTGCACATTCACTCCATTGAGTAGAACCTCCCCAGAGGCTTCCTTGAAAAGTTCTGTTTTCCGTTGTTTTTCAATGGCATGGAGGGAAAGCGCCTGGCATCTTTCCTGTGGCAGCACATTCCACGAGGAAGGTACCCCAGTAGAGAAGGCCTGGCTTCTGGCTGTTGTTTTCCAGGCTTCTTAAGGTATTAATAGACATAGGTGCATGGATTCTGATCAGACAGGCAATCGAACCTGGTAGAAGACGTTCAGGGTTTGATAAGTTAGAATCAACACCTTAAATCTGGCATGGAAGCAGGTTGGCAACCAATACAGGCTAGCCTGCACTGGGGTGATATTATCATATTTTTTCACCCCAGTAATGAATCTTACTGCTACATTTTGGGCCTCTTAAAGCTTCTGTGTCAGCCTCAAGGGAAACACAATGTAGAGTGCATTACAGTAGTCAATTTTTGAGGCTACCAGTGCATGGACCAATGTTGTTAGGGACCTGGCATCTATATGGGGGCGCAGCTATGCAATACCTCAAAGTTGAAAAAATGCAGGATGTGTCACAGAGGAGACCTGTCTTTACATGGTTGGCACTGGATCTAAAATTATGCCCAAACTGTGCACCTCATTCTTGAACAGAAGGACAAATCCATCATGTCTGGGGGAAACACCTCAGACAAGGAGAGGGATTTCCGCCACACACACAGACACTATGATAGCCATTCTTCTTTGGTTGCAGTTTTGACCTGTTCCTTCTAGACCAGTCCAGTTTTGCACCTGCCCACCCCTCTAGGTGCTGGATGGCATCCACTGCAGATGATTTAAAGGAGATATTGAGCTGCTTGTCATCCACATACTGAGGTCACGAAGCTCCATATTTCCTGATGAGCTCTCCCAGTGGCTTTATATAGATGTTAAACACCACTGGGGAAATGACTGACCCCCGTGGGACCCCACAGTTGAAACGTTCTTCCTCTTTCTGTCAGTTGCTGTGACTATTGAAGACAATCACATCCACAGGGAAAGTGAGGGATGGGCAGGTGGAGAAAGTAGTTTGTCCTTGGGGTGGGGTGGGGGGAGAAAAAGGCAGGTTGTCATTTTTATCTGTAGTGCTGGATTTCAGAAAACCAAGGAAAGAACAATTGTGATGGCCACATTGATTCCTCCGTGTTATAACTCTGCATCTTTGGTCATGTTTGTTTGGTGAACACTATTTTCTATTGCTGTATATGTGTGTGGGGGGTCTCCTCATGGATTGCTGCATTGCCATGATGAAGGGGCTTGAGTAACTCAGAGAAGCTATAGGCTACACCATGCAAGGACACCCAAGACGGACAGGTCATAGCGGAGAGTTCCGACTAAACGCAATCCACCTGGAGTAGGAATTGGCAAGCAACTCCAGTATTTTTGCCAAGAATACCTCATGAACAGAAACAAAAGGCTAAAATATATGATGCTGGAAGATGGGCCCCTCAGGTTGGAAGGTATCCAATATGCTACTGAGGAAGAGCGGAGGGCAAGTACAAGTTGCTCTGGAGCTAATGAAGTGGTTGGGCTAAAGTCGAAAGGACGCTCAGCAGCGGATGTGTGTGGAAGTGAAAGGAAAGTCCAATGCTGCAAAAAAAAAAAAATAGTGCATAGGAACCTGGAATGTAAGATCTATGAACCTTGGTAAGCTGGATGTGGTTAAACAGGAGATGGCAAGAATAAACATTGACATCCTGGGTGTCAGTGGACTAAAATGGACAGGAATGGGCCAATTCAATTCAGATGATTACCAAATCTTCTACTGTGGGCAAGAATCCCGTAGAAGAAATAGAGTAGCCCTCATAGTCAACAAAAGAGTGGGAAAAGCTGTAATGGGATACAATCTCAAAAATGATAAAATGATTTCAATATGAATCCAAGGCAGACTTTTCAACATCACAGTAATCCATGTTTATGCACCACCCACCAATGCTGAAGAGGTTGACATTGACCATTTCTATGAAGTCTTACATCATCTTCTAGAACTGAAACCAAAGAAACATATTCTTCTCATTATAGGGGATTGGAATGCTAAAGTAGGGAGTCAAGAGATAAAAGGAACAACAGGTAAGTTTGGCCTTGGAGTTCAAAACAAAGCAAGGCAAAGGCTAATAGTGTGTTGTCAAGAGAACAAGCAGGTCATCACCAACACCCTTTTCCAACAACACAAGAGGCAACTCTACACATGGACATCACTAGATGGGCAATACTGAAATCAGATTGATTATGTTCTCTGCAGCCAAATATGGAGAAACTCTATAAAGAGCACAGAGTGTTGTCCTCTGAAGATGCCGGCCACAGAGACTGGCAAAACGTTAGGAAGAACAACCTTCAGAACATGGCCAAAGAGCCCAAAAAAACCCACAACAACTAAACTCTATAAAGTCAACAAAAACAAGACCTGGAGAGAGTAGGAAAAACCACTGGCCTAGTCAGATATCGAAATCAGATTGATTATATTCTCTGCAGCCAAAGATGGAGAAGCTCTATACAGTCAGCAAAAACAAGACCTGGAGCTGACTGCGGTTCTGATCATCAGCTTCTCATAGCAAAATTCAAGCTTAGACTGAAGAGAGTAGGAAAAACCACTGGGCCACTCAGGTATAATCTAAACCAAATCCCTTATGAATACACAGTGGAAGTAAAGAACAGATTTAAGGAACTAGATTTGGTGGACAGAGTGCCTGAAGAACTTTGGATAGAGGCTCGTAACATTGTCCAGGAGGCAGCAACAAAAACCATCCCAAAGAAAAGGAAATGCAAGAAAGCAAAGTGGCTGTCCAACGAGGCCATAGAAATAGCAGAGAGGAGAAGGGAAACAAAATGCAAGGGAGATAGGGAAAGCTACAGAAAATTGAATGCAGACTTCCAAAGAATAGCAAGGAGAGACAAGAGGGCCTTCTTAAATGAACAATGCAAAGAAATAGAGGAAGATAACAGAAAAGGAAAGACCAGAGAGCTGTTCAGGAAAATTGGAGATATTAGAGGAACATTTTGCGCAAAGATGAACATGATAAAAGACAAAAATGGGAGGGACCTAACAGAAGCAGAAGACATCAAGAAGAGGTGGCAAGAATACACAGAGGAATTATATCAGAAAGATGTGGATATCCCGGACAACCCAGACAATGTAGTTGCTGACCTTGAGCCAGACATCCTGGAGAGCGAAGTCAAGTGGGCCTTAGAAAGCCTGGCTAACAACAAGGCCAGTGGAGGTGATGGCATTCCAGTTGAACTATTTAAAATCTTGAAAGATGATGCTGTTAAGGTGCTACATTCAATATGC